AACTTAGTAAATAGATTAGTCATTCGTTCTCTGATGAAATATTTTATGAGATATTTTTCCTTTTTTAGGCACCTACTATAATCAACTACTGACACTTCGGTATGTATTAAGTATCTTGACGATCATATGTGTGACATACACATAAGATCTAGCTGACAACTTTATTTCAATTAAATTGAAAAAAACCTGTACGCGTCGTTTATTTACATGAGAATATGCTATTCTTAATGATTCAAAGTATTTCATAGAATTCTCACCTTATCTATTCGATACTCGCATAACTTGCACCATATTCTAGTTTTTTAATTCCAAAATAGTCTCTATAGTTTCATTTAAAACATTTTTTTATCTATATACAGTGTCCCAAAAGTCACTTTACACTTGATATTGTATTTAACATATGTTTTCAATATGAAGATCTTAAATCTTATTCATATATATATATATACTTGTACTCAGGAGTAAGATACATATAAGCACTAATATTCTTGCTTTCGACAGCAGTAAGTTCTTGAATAAAAATACAAATGTATCTTATTTACTTCTGTATGATTGTAACAAAAATTTAGTTGTCATATTGATTCCCTAAACTTTCTAGCTAACTAGAAATTTTAGTGGATCAGCATAATAACTTAATTTTGTTACAGTCATACAGAAGTAAATAAGATACATTTGTATTTTTATTCAAGAAATTATTGCTGTCGAAGGCAAAAATATTAGTGGTTATATGTATCTTACTCCTGAGTACAAGTATATATATGAATAAGATTTAAGATCTTCATACTGAAGACATATGTTAAATACAATAACAAGTGTAAAGTTACCTTTGGGACATCCTGTAATGGTTTGACTTCTATACATTATTTTTTGTGAACGTTGAACCATTTTATCTTCATTAAATTAATCATTTTAATGCGTTATCGAGAAATCATTTCATAGGGTTATTTGTGACATTTTTTTGCCATTTTAATGATGTAAATTTTCGATCATTTTAATACCATTTTGCCGTTGCAAATTTTGGCCGGGTTATATCTAACAATTGACGAAGAATATTTGTTTTGATCTTCTAATAGTGTTTTGATCGTCCATTTCAACAACAACCAAATGGATATGGATGTATAAAAGATTACGACTTCTTCACAATGATTTCGTTCTTGATTGTTATCTGTAGTAAAATAACAGTAATTTTGAAAACAATTTAAAGATGTGTAGAAAAAAATGATGATTGTAGCAGTTTGAGTTGACTCATCGACAATACATAAATAAAATAATTTTAAAAAGAGTTTAATTCTTTCTATAATTGTAATAATATTTATTTTCACATCGTCTTGACGTTCACTGATAAAGTATGTTTTAAGATTTTACCTTAAGATACTTTTCTCTCTTTTCCCTACTGAAATTATTAACTATGACATGATTATATCTATCTTGATAACCTAATAATATATGAACTAATTGATTGTAAAAAATTAGAAATTTTATTAGAGTGCAAGGCACTCGATATGAAATTGATTTTTTATTTCACCAAGTAACTTTAGATATTAACATAGTATTCCCTCCATTTGACTTCTGCTACTATCCTTTGAAAATTCGCTTTATTGCATTCCATCATTTGACGAAAGTTTTATAAAGGAAGAAAGCCGTCAGCTGTTTTATTTATGACATAAGCGAAACAGCGTTGTTTTTATGTTTATTCGTTTTCTGATATATTCAGAAAGAGAAAAAAAATTGGTTATACTGGCGAGGATAGCTTTGATGTTTCCAGTTCATTGCAACATAGAAAAGATGCAAAAAGAAGATTATACAAATTTGGTATTGGTAAATCTATAAAGAGCACTAAATAAGTGGTGGAAATGGATATATGTTAATATCTAACATCATTTTGTGAAATAAAATTTCAATTTCACATCGAATTCCTTACTATCTAATAAAATTTCTAATTTTATTTCACAAAGTACGTTAGATATTAACATAGCATGTTTTAAGCGCCCGTGTACTTCAAGCAGTAATCACAATTCTGTGATGAAACGGATTATGTGCTTCAATTTTGCCGTAATGCAATCGCTTAAGAGTAGAGGCATTCTACCAAATTGCTATGTGCGAAATTTGAGTGATGATTAGACCTTGTATAGACGCTTTCAAAGTGCCTGCTATCGATGAGATTGAGAACGGTATTTTTCTATCTCGATTCTCGCTGAAATCATTGCGGATTTCATTCAGTTAGCAATAATGACAGCATGTGCAAGTTTCTGCGAATATGAAACTGCAAGAAAAAGTCGATCATCACCTAGAGATGAACAGGCTGATCGCCATATGTGTGCACATTTCATGTAAGCTACAAGAGCAGCCACTAAATAGAGTTGATCATCATCAGCACAGAGATCATATGTTAGTTTGCAAATACAACAAGAATATCAGTCACCTTACACAAGTCCATCGAGAAAAAATACTATTTTAAAATCTCGAAAGATTATGTTCTCTAATTTTACTTTGTGACTTTATCAAGATTCTGTAGGGTGTAGATGTAGTTGGGGCACCATGAAAAAAAGCCCATATGCTGTGTTTCAGAGAACCTCATCTAACATCAAGAAGTTTAGAAAACAATCACTGAGCAACTTTTACCTAATTCACCCTTTGCCATCGAGCTGTGTTACGGAACTTTACATGGAGTCTAGCTAGAATATGCCTGCTTGATCGCAAAGCCCATATACTTCCACATGCAACAATTAGTAAAGAACATCTCTGTGTTCTCACTTTACTAACAAACAGACATATTCAAACTAGACCACACGAAAAGCACCGAAACAGATGTGCCTAACAAAGTCAACATACGTAGAATTTTCTCAAGGCTAGCTTTCACAAAAACGCACAGTAAACTGAATCACGTTGAACCAGAGCATTTTGACTCATTAAGGCTTTAGGTGGGACTGGGGCATCAGGGTCCGTATGAGCAGGTGCCTATGATTGTGATGAAATGGGATTCAGTACGGGTTTTGGTTGCATGATGTCACGCGAGAAGGTGTGGCTGATATGGCTAGCCTGCGCGTATAGCAGCGGACGTGAATGAAACGCTGTGGGTCGGCACACGTGTGTGATTTACACATTCGTCTCGCTCTGGGCGTGAATTTCTCTTTCACTGGCTCTCACATCCAAACCAAAGCGCCTGTGTTGCAAAAAAAAACAGTCCTTCTGGTAGTGGTGTCTTCAAACGTCAACAGACCCCCTTGAAAATTGAACCATTGGATTCAGCGTAAAATTCTGCACGTACCTCAAATTGATTGAGAATCAACTCAGGTGAAGTAGCGAATCCGGATAGCAAATACCTTGGGAATTAGGTTGAAGAATCTGTTTTTGAGGCCGAAGTGGCTTTTTTTGCGCGACGACTACCCTTGAAAACGGTACCATTGGATTTAGCGTAAAATTGTGCACGTAACGCAAATTGATTGAGAATATACTCAGGTGCAATAGAGAATCCAGACAGGAAATGGCGAATATGGTGCTAACTTTACCGACGTGATTTTTTCAATTAATTTTTTATTTTCACTTATTTATACTGAAAATGTATTTAATGATAGCTTCCTTTATATAAGTATTAGAAGGTAATATTTGAAAGGGTTTTTAAAAGCTAGTTATTTATTCTACTGGCTTTTGCACGTATTACAATCAAACCGATAACAGTTATTATCCTACAACAAGAATCACATACGTTAAAAATTCTTTTATTTCTTGTCTATTAAATTACAAAGAGTTATGATTAGTAACAGTGAATAACCGATGAAAATTTATTCAGTCTAGTATATAAGTCAATCAAAAAAGTTTTTTCTATGAATTTGTCTATCACATTCTGAGCTTTTACATTCTTTTTAAAGAACTTAATCATAAAAATATTTCTTTTGCAACAGAACTATTGTTCTAACCAAGTATGAAGAACACTTCTATATGGAAATAGCCATCAGAATAGTCTGTCCAGTCGAGATAGTGAAAAGTATCAATAGTAGTTAACCTAAACTTTATTATTATTATTATTATAACGATTATAAAGCCAAGATAAATTATCCAGAAGTTTATTTGACTTTTATAAGATCAATGAAGTGTTGAATAATTCATTCATCTGTTGACAACTTCAGTCTGCTCGCTCGAGTAATCGATTGTGATAAGAACAATCTATCGTAAGTTGGAATCACATAAAACGTAATAAGTATAGAATGGGACTAACTTGAAAAAGATGCATATTCACACAAAAAATTAAATTAGGCACCAGTTCTTGGTTCTTGTTTTTCATTTTCCCTTCTTTTTTTTCCTGGTCGGACAGTTAATTTAGTTTTTTTCTCTGATAAGTAAGATGGTAGATTCTATAACTTCCTGTGATACTTTATATTTCTATACAATACATCGCTCAACTCTATATCTTCTTAAACATAGTTACATTTCTTTTGAAAATACTGGCGAATGTGATAATCTCTCATGATATTTTAAATTTATATAGAAAACATTACCGAGCTCTACATCTTCCAAAATCTAGCTAGATTTTCATTGATAATAGTGGTGAACTCTACAACATTCTTAACTTAGTGAAATTTCTATTAAAGTTGAACATTACTTAATATAAATATATAAGATGAATAATTTATCTTTATGTTGGATTTTTTTAAAATTTTAAATCTTCAAATAACTGTTTGATTTTGCCTAAACCTCAATTTTGCCTGATACATATCCATAAGCAATTGATTTTCGTGAAATGGAAAAATCAAACAAGTGAGAAATTATTCAAAATATTTTTTTTAATGATAATGTATGTGTTCTTTATTTATGTTATCTAACTACATGAAAAATTAAAGTTAAGAAGCGACTAAAATACGACGGTTAGTAATGATTGGAATTATGTTGCTAAAAGAAAAAATAGTTAGTTTAGCGTTGAAAATAAAAATTAAAAAAAAGTTTGAAGTGGTTTTTGCAGTTGAAAACTGTCCCGAAAATTATGATGATTTTTTGATAATCGTTTAGTGCAAATATTTTTTACATTCCCATCTTCCTGGTGTGCATCGTGATGAACAGGTTGGGCCTTCTAAATTAATTCTTGATGGGCATACGCCATATGCGCAGCTAAATGAATATCTTTGCAATAATTGTTCATAAATGCCTTCCTTAATAAGATAATTTATGGCATTTACCAAGGCACAGCATAATTCTCGATTATTTTTGTTGCATAAAATACCATAAGGTAGAACATTATAAGTTCGTCCAACAATTTTGAATGCATTATTGGATATAACAACCAATGCCTTCAGTAATGCTTCATCGGCAACAAATACTTCAACTACGCCATTGGAAAGTGCATTTAATGCCTCGGCATTTGACGCATATTCTTTTATCGTAATACGATTAAAACGACACTGTGTGTTTTGTCTATTCAAATCATCTACTTGTATCGTTCCACTTATTACTGCTACGTTTTTGCCACATAGACTATTGAGTCCAGTAATGGTTCCTCCATATGACGATTTAACGAGAAAACTACTGCCAGTTTTAAAGAACTGAGCAAAATCGACGGATCGTGTAAGTTCCGGTGTAATTGTTGAAGCACCAATTGCAATTGTGTTGACATTGCTTTGAACAATCGAAATAGTTGATACAGTGGATGACTCGTACTGATATTGAAATGGTTTTCGATATAAAAAACTGATTAAATTCATTAGATCAATATCGAATCCATAAGGTACACCATAGTCACTACGAGTGACGAAGGGAGCAGAGTCATCTGGTGGTATGACAACATTGATTGTTGCCGAGCGTAAACGACGAGGAAAATCATGTAAAAGACTGTCATCTGTACAATGAGACTCGGTAACATGAGATGAGACTGATGCTACGAGTAGAAGTAATAGGAGAGCAAACTGCATTTTGTTGCTAGTATAATAAATGTCTTCAATAATAATATGATATGAGATTTCTAGCAAAGCTCTTGTCAGATCTGAAAAAAAAACATACAGTATTAGAGAATGCTACATTGCAAATAGAGAACTGAAACTAATCAAAATATAACAAAAAAAATAAACTGCTACAGTAAGAAATGATATATATAGTGTTTACATGTTCCGTTCATTATATCAAGTTGTGAGCCTTCATTTAAATTGTAATATTTATCATCCTTGTCTTATGTTCTAACTTCATGCAAAAGTGTTAACTCATAAGAATTTAGAAGCCTCAATTATTATTTTTCCATAGAAAAATATCTAGTCTCACTAAATAGTTAAACTTACTACTTAGTATGACAACTTTTATTGATTTAGTTTGAAAAGTAGTAAAAAAATGCTGAAATCATTTTCTAATATATAATGCAGCCAAAAAGCAAATGCATTTCTACTTGTCTTACTTATTTTCAACAATTGATTGTAGTCTTATTTTATAAAATTACGAATAACTCACATAATAAGCTTGATGACAGTATTTCTTTGTTGCATTTTTCTCTTTTATTTACTGCTCGGCTTTCCAAGATTGTCATCATTGCTACATATATTCTTATATTCTCTCATACGATGCTTACATATAGCTCTATGAATTTTCAATATTTTTCAGTGTATTTTTTTGCAACACATTCGCCATTATATTTTCTACAAAACCCCTACAGAAATCGTCACCTCAAACATAAGAGCTGACAATTACTACAATAACATTACAAAAGTCAATCAATTATAAATTTTAAACAGTGTCATTTATATTAACTTGTCTTGATTGCGGATACTGAAACAGATGTAAACATTTCTATGCGAAACTTTAATTTGGAACGAATCCTCTCTAATATTACACTCTTTTCCTCACTATGTCTATATCAGCTATTCAATTTGGAACTACCTCAGAATGTAGGTAATTCTGTACACTAATATCTAATGATCTTTTCAAAAAAATAAAATTTTACTTCAGAAAAAAATACTATCACGATAACTTGTATCCATCCTCTGAAAAATAGGAAGAACATGTTAAAAGGCAAGGATAGTTTCTAAAACTCATACAAACTAAAATCTATTTAATTCTATTAATGTTTTTTTTTGAAGAGTTTTTATGCATAATGATAAAATTCAGTTTTTAAGACTCAACAGATATATTTGTTTAATTTTCTTCTATGATATAATATTGAAGCATGAAAATATAAAACAGTTCAATGAGTGCATAAAATTGTTGACATGTCATGTTCGTTGCAAATTTTAAGCGAGTTTCGTTGCATTCCTGTTTATAACTCATATTCCTCAAAGATTTTCAAGAGAATTAAATACTGAGTTTATCAAGAAAGTTTTGCTTGACACTATGAAAATTCATAAAAAGTATCAATCACAAATCTAGACAATTATTGATGTTGGGATACCATTATATTCTAATTCTAAAATTGTGGTATCAAATGTGAGCAAAATTTCAAAAATAAAGGTATTTTAACAAAATCGTTCTTTTTCTTCTTTTGAACAATTTATTGTAATTTTATTTTCATCACAATGTTTCAAATAAAAAAAAAACATCAAATGATCCTACTATTTCATTTCGTTATAATAACTAAAATAATTATTTTCTCGAGAATCCTAACCAAAGAAGTATGTTAGGAAGAATATATATTTTTCTCAATATATACTATAAGTTTTATTGTAGCGAACGAAACGTTGAGCTTTGTATTTTTTTTCCTCATTCAAAAAGCATCAATTTAAGTGGACACTAAATAAGATGCTGTAAATAAAACAAGTGCTTTAGTATATTTTCATTCAGCCAAAAAGCAAATGCATTTCTACTT